GGGGGGGGGGGGCACAGATGCGAAGTCAAAGGGAGGGCGGTGCATCCCGCGGCCCTTCGCACGTTGTTGTTGATGTTGTTGTTGTTGGGGGGGGGCTTCTCTCATCATGCATGCGTGGCACCCTCTATATATGCGTCCTTCTCCCTCTCCTTTTTTGTTCCCCCCCTCCCTACACCCACACATGCATGCTTGCCCACTTGCACGTGCGTGTTGTGTTGTGCCGCACGGCGCCAGTGCTAGTGAGTGTAAGAATAGTTGAGTACGTTTGCGCTGGGCGTGTCTAGGGGCGACTTCGACACCGCCGCCACACACACACAGAGAGAGAGAGAGAGAGAGAGAGATAAAGAGAGAGGGAGAGCGAGAGAGGGGCGAAAGGTCCNAGAGAGAGAGAGAGAGAGAGAGAGATAAAGAGAGAGGGAGAGCGAGAGAGGGGCGAAAGGTCCTGCCATCAATTTTGGGCCACGTATTTGGCAGCACGGAGAGTTCACCGATTTTCATAAGAGGAGGGGTAAGGCAGGCGCGAAGGAAGGAGGGAAGAAGTATACACAGAAACAGTGAAGAGCAACGAGTAAGAAACGCGCGATACAAAAGAGAAACAGAAGCAACAACAAGAGCATCAGCATCACAAGAAAAGGAGAAATCCAGATGTTCAGTGCCGATGATGCCCGCCGGTACCCGGGATTCTTCACAAGAACGTGGAGCGCCCCACCGGACGACATACGCCGCAGCAGAAGCAGCGTCGCCCTCACGCCGCCGCTGCTCTCACCGCACCTCGCTGCGCCCATTCACGTACGAGGTCTCGCTGCCACTGACCCGATCAGTCACCGCGACCGCACCGTGTCACCAGCAGCGACATCAACAACAGCAGCAGCAGCAGCAGCAGCGGGCATGCAGGCCAGCCGCGTACTGGTGGGAATGTCGCGTGACGAGATGGCCCTTTCCCCACACATGAGCCTGCTGGACGTGAGCGGTGCGGTGCGGCGCACAGCGGTACTACACAACCGCCCTGGATGGGAGGAGATGTCGCAGGCAGAGCGTATGGATTACACCGCCCGTCTTGAGGGCGACGTGAGCCAGGCGAAGGATGCGCTCGACCGCGCCTACCACCTGCGGGACCACTACAAGGAGGAGGCGGCTCGGCTGCACAGGGAGCTCATGCGGAAACACGGCAGCCTCGAACGTATTGAGCGTGATCATCAACTGTGCGGTGACGTCATCTACCGTCATCAAATGGAGGCACAGGAGCTGCGGCACCAGCTCGATGAGGCAAACGGCGAAGTACAGCGGCTGAAAGCACTGCTTCACACGACCGAAGAACATAGAGGCGGCCTTTCAGTGATAGAATACGGGGTGGGGTTAGAGCAACGGCAAGCCGAAGTGAACGAGCTGCGGGAGGAGAACAGACGGTTACTGGATCAGCTGCGCAGTATTCAGGATGAACTCTCGAACGAGCGCTCTACCGCTCGTGAGCGTGAAACTACGGCTATTCACTCTACCACCACGCGCACCGCGGGGGAAGAGGAGGAGCTAAAAGAGACACGCCATGTTTTGCAGGTCCTGCGCGCCGAGATGCAGGATCTACGACAACAGATGCAACAAGAGAGGCTCGACCACGAGAGTAGTCTGGAGGAGGTAATCAAGCAGCGCAACTCTCTCCAAGGCCTGAACACCTCGTTACGGGAGGAGATGGAAGGCCTTCAAACGTTGTGCCGTGCGCAGAACATGACCAACGAGGAACTTCAAGAAACTCTGCTTCAACGCGCTTCAGTCACGCATCATGAGTACCATGCTCTCAATAGACGCTGTGAGGAGCTACAGAAACACGTGGAGCTCCTTCAGCAAGAGCAAAGTCCATCCCTTGACACAACTCTTGAACTCGAGAAGCAGACGCTGCAGGAACAGCTCCTCACGCTTCGCCGCGAGGGAGAGGAAAAGAACGAGATTATTCGAAAGTCAAACGCGGAAATCGACACGATGCGCCAATTCACCAGCAATCTCGAAGTGGAGCTCGATCTATCGAGAAGAGCAAAAACGCTCATTGAACAAGACCTCCTCGTCACAAAAGAGCAACTTCTATCTCTACAGGCCCGATGCCAGGAGTCTGACAACGTCATAGCCGCCTTTCATGTACGGCTTGAAGGCCAGATGTCTACTATACAGGCACTCAATGACCAGCTAAGACACCTCCAGCGCGCCACAGAGAAGGACACACGTAGCAACATAGCATTAGCATCTCTTTGCACACTCCAGAACCCTACGGAATTAACAAGCGATCCACTTTCTATCTCACGTGAAGGACTCATGCAGCCAACAACAGAGTCTTCATTGTCTGAAGCGATGATTTCACGAGATACTAAAACACAACACTTAATGCAACACAACCCAGAAGAACAACAAAAACAAAAAACATCATCAGGCACAGAAAAAGACGATAATCCTCTGCAACTTCAACAAAGCCTCACCGAGAGCAGACAAAAAAAATTTGGCCTGGAGGACCGCGTTGCTGCGCTGGAGAAGGAGCTGGAGGATGCGGCTGCTGCCCGTGATGCTTCTGATGCGGACAAGGCCGCACTGAGCGAGCGTCTCACGAGTGCCCTGGCGGCTGTCGACGAGCTGGCTGCCGAGCGCAATGCACAGACCGCCAAGGTTGCCGAGCTGACGGACGCGGTGGCGCGGCTGGAGAGCAGCGGCGATGCCCCTGCGCGTGCGGTGGAAGCGCTTGCTGCTGAGCTGCGCGAGACACAGGACCGGCTGCGTGAGGCCGAGGATGAGCTCCGTGCTGCTGCCGAGC